AGTGCAACCAAGGGGCTACATGTTTAATTTTAACACTGGTGGCTAGTGGCAATTGCACAGAATATTTGTAGACAGTTAATAGGATTTAAAATTCACACTACTTTGTTTTTAGATATTCTATCATACCATACATGGCATGACCAATTTGGAGCAACAGAACTGAATTTTGAGATGGAGGCACGATCTATGTTTTAAGAGAGCAGTGATATTTTCACAGGATAGTATTCAATTCTTAAAGACAATATGGGGAGAGAAAAAACACCAATATGTTCATGAGGATGAAATAATTTTTAAATATTATCCCGTATATGCTTCAGCATTTGGCTGTGGATGGCCCAGACATATGTTCACAGAGATGATAAACTTGAAAACTTCCCAGAGTAGAATGGAAATGCACCAAGTTTAATTTCCAAGTTCATCAGAAGGTCATAGATACAAATTCCATGAGAGTCTGAGTATTAAGGCATCCATTGACTCAAAATGACTTATCTGAAAAGAAATGTCAGTGTTCTCCTGAACTACTAAATAAATAAGCACTAAAATAACCACCCTAGTGAGGGACTGTGATTTATGTGGCATATACCTTCCAAAGAGGTCTTTTAAAAACATTGTTTCATCACACTGACAACATTCCTGAGTGGAGCTGGCAAATGCAGTTATCCCCATTTTCCAGAGACAGGAGAAGAAATTAATGGCATGCCACTGTCCATCAATGAGACAGGCCTATCCCTGGGAATTGGATATACGTACACGAGCAAACTAAATCCGTGCTTTCCCAGGGCACACCAGGCGAACCTAACCATCTGAGGCAAGATTTAAGAGTGTTTAAGAGAGGCTGAGACTAAGAAGGGGACTTCTGTTATTTTGCAATTGCTGATTGCTTTGGAAAGCAAAAGTGGTTAATGCAATAGGCGTTCAATCATCATGACTATTTTATTCATTAAAAATGAACAAGTCTCTTCTTGTTGAAAAGAACTTGAAGACATATGAGAGACTGATCCCAAGAAGGTTATAGTCAAATAGAGGTGCTGAGTAATCACAGTATAAGCTGTAGTTCAGGTTTTGGGGACAGAGACCATACTCTGGGCTTGCAGACCCCACAGGAAGGCTTGAGGTTGAAACAGCAGATGAGCTGTGTTTGAAGAAAGGGCAGGAGTCTATCCACCGGGCATGAACATGCAGAACCATGGTCTCTCGCCTGCCTTGGGGCAGTGGGCTAGGGTTCCTCCAGCCACAGAAGAAGCTGCAACTTCTTGGAGTTTCAGTTATACTTGGTAGTAATTAAAAATATGTGCAGATACATTTAAAAGATGAAACTAAAAGTTCATGTCCATTTTTCATACAAATAGGAGACTGCAATGTGAACTTGGCTCAAAGAAGGTAGCTTTGGGACACACACGCCGAGAGATAACTCAGAGGGGGTGCATTTCCTTTCCTCTGCCCTATGTTATGCTTTGGTCTCAGAAGCACCAGAGAGAGAGAAAGAAGAACGGACTCAAAATACTTCCTAAAAACATACCATCTACTAATTAGACGGTCTATTGATTTAACCTCTCTGAGCCTCAGTTTTCTGATTTCCGTTATGTGCCTAAAAATGCCTCCTTCTTAGAGTTGCTTTCAAGGATTAAATGTAATAATAAATATAAGGGTTATGGTGCCTACCTAGTGCTACTTTTTAAGAAGTGCTCGGAAAAAAAATAAATTAGTAAAAGAAGAAGAGCTCGATGGACCTGAATCTAAATGAAAGAAAATGTTGAAGCAATGATATGAGGGGATGGGAAGCACAGGCTCAGCTGGGGCACAGAAGTAGACAGTCTGGGGGGTCCTAAAGGATGGAGGAGAAGGGACGGCCCACAGGTGGATACCACCCAGGCTGCGAGCCTCTTTCACACCCACTGAAGATGGACTTACACTCTATTCCAGCAGTTCTCAACCTGTGGGTCGAGAACCCCTCGGGGGTCTCGTGCATGTCAGATATTTACATTATGATTCAGAACCCTAGCAAAATTACAGTTATGAAGTAGCAACGAAAGTAATTTTATGGTCAGGGCTCACCACAACATGAGGAACTGTATTAAAGGGTCGCGGCATTAGGAAGGTTGAGAACCACTGCTCTGTTCAAACATGTAGAAAATCTGAGAAATTTTACACTGGCAAGATTAGATAGTAAAATGGCAATTGGGAATATAGGTCTGTATGACCTCCAAGAAGGATGCTGTGGTAATAGCTATCAAAATGTGAACTGTCTATGCAACAGAATTTATCCTGCAGATACACTAGTGCATGTTGGGAATCATATTAGTAAAAAAATATTTACTGCAGATAAAAGACTGGGAAAAAAAAGCATTGAGGATGATTGGACCACAGTTTATTTAACAAATCGTGTTATAATACGTAAACTAGAATACTCTGCAACGGTTAGAAAAGCCGAGGAAACTGTTTGCCTGTGAACTGATACGACTGTGCTCGGAAATTTGTTGTCAAGTCAAAAATGCAAGGTGCAGCCCAGCGCGCCTGGCCTGTGTAACAGAAACTTCTACAGGCTGACCACACCCATTTCCTTGTTGTCCTGGCCAGACATATAGAAGACATTTCCTTGCAGTCAGGTGGGACCATGTAACTGAGTTATGGCCAATTGAATAGTGACAGAAATATTATGAGACATATCACTCCCAAGTCTGGTCCCTAAAAATCCCCCAGACTTTCCAGGCTTTCTTTCTTTTCTTTTCTTTTTTTTTTTTTTATTAAATCATAGCTGTGTACATTAATACAGTCATGGGGTACAGTGTGCTGGTTTAAATATACAATTTGAAATATTTTCACCAAACTGGTTAACATAGCCTTCATGGCATTTTCTTAGTTATGGTGTTAAGACATTTATATTCTCCATTTAGAAAGATTCACATGTACCCTTGTAAGGTAGACCATAGGCGTGGTCCCATCAGTCACCCTCCCTCCCTTCCCCCTCCCCCTCTGTCTTCTTCCTTTGTCAGTTTATAGGGAGCATCCAGCCAAGATCCCTGGATCCATACGGGCTACTAGAGTGCTAGGTTGAAGGAAGTTGGAACCATTGATGGCTCTTGGAGAAGACCCCAGTGCCCCTGTCACTGACCCCAAAGGTCACACAAGACTGAGACATGAACAGAAATAAATTTTTATAGTATTAAGCTGCTGAGATTTGGGGGTATTTTATTAAAACATTTGGCCAGATTCCATGCTTTGTGTATAAAAAAAAAGAGAAATGTATAAAATATTTACCTGTCTGTTTATATAGAGTAACTATTGGCTGCTTCTGGGAAGGCTGGGGAGGAGACCTTGGTGGCAGGCAGGAGGGGGCTTAGATGACATTTTCTGTGTGTACCTAGCATGGGCTGGGTGGGACCTGTTGTTCCTTGGTTTCGTATCTATAAATAAAAAGATGACCACCGCTTATAATAGCAGTGGTCATCTTTCATATTTTTTCCCATCATAACACAAACAGAAAACGATAATGTGCAGTCCTAGAGGATAAACTGGGAGGAAATTAAAGGGGTTCTGAGGAAGCTGCTCAGGGCTGAAGGACGGAAAGATCAGGATCTCATGGGACACCTGTAACCGTTCTGCACACCAGCCTGGAGCCCTGGGTAGGACTGAGCACCCCTCCCTGCTCACCCCCCACTCCTCTTTTCACGTTGGACCAGCCTGCCTGCTGAGTGGACCCCCACTCCCTTCTTCCTGACTGAAGCTTTACAGAGCAGAGCCCAGCAGGGAGGCCCATGCCGTCCAGATCAGTATGTCTGGTGGGGGGATAAGTCTTTCTCATTCCGGAGTGAAAGATGAGCAAGCCGGCCCAACCACCAAGCCTCGTTTCTGCACATAGCTTTTCATGCCACATAGCTGCTATCTGACTCCTGCATCTGTTTCTCCACTGGTTACAAAATCAGGGAGGCGAAAGAGATGATCTCGAATGAACCCTTCAGAAGTCCGACATATCCTTTTGTATCTTTGAACATCAGGCCATGGGAATGTGTTATCTATTCAGAATTAGACTAATGGCTTTCTGATTTTTTGTTTAGAGAAGATGTCTGTGTAGATTAGTTTGCCTGGACCTCAAAATTGGCCTCAATGAAGGAAAATCATTGTTAGGCTGCAGTTACCAGAAGGGGCACAAGGTAATGACAGTGCGAACGAAGGTGGCTGTGACAGAATGGAAAGCAAGAAATGAACCCAGGCGACAGCCATTCACTCAACAAGTATTTACTTAAAATAAGCCAGGGGTATGCAGGGATGGTGGGGCAGATGGAGAAGTAAAACGGGAAAGTCCCAAAAGGAGACTTTGTTTTCGTACCTGGGTGGGTGACCCAGAGAATATGGTTGAGGAGCCACTGAGCCTTCTGTTCTCTAAGTCTGGGGTGTCTGTGGGCTGCCTAAACCTGTGTGCGTGGTGGAAAGCCTGGGGCCAGCGGCAACGATCCGGAATCGCTAGCATGGGAGAAAGGAGGGGACATGCACATGGGATCTCTGGGGAGGGGGGCCAGGAGAAGAGGAGAGGACCAAGGACAGAGTGCCAGGGAGGGGAGGAGGGGTATGACCAGCAGGTGCGACGGAGAAGGGAGAGTAGAGGATGATGACACTCAGGGCCACAGGAAGCTGGGGCAAAGTGAAGTCCGAAGGGGCTGCTGCTCCCTGACACGGCACTTCCAGGGTTAGAAAATACAAACCCAGGATGCCCAGTGAAATTGGAACTTCAGATAAACAGTAATACTTTCTTCAGAATCATTTCATAGTGCAGAATGATTTCACAGTGTTGCACTTGGGACATTTCATTATGTGTTTGAAATGCAATCGATACAGAGGAAGGGAAGAATGCAAACCCCAGAATGAACAGAACTGTGTGTTTCTGCCTGGTCACCTGAGAGAATGGCTGGAGAGGAGCTGATTCTACCTACCCAAGAGGGAGTTTGCAGACCGAGGGGAAATCCTGTGGGTTTCATAATTAGGGAGCGGTTTTCATCCTTCACGACTGACTCACACTAAGAAGGGTGCAGGGGGTTAAGGAAAAGCAAGGATAATGAGCAAGTGGGAGCTGTGAACCCACGCTCCTCGCTGGGGAGGTCGAGCGCTGGGCTCTTTCAGAAGCCTGACAAATGCCTCTTAGAGAAAAAGGAGGAACAAAGGAGGCAGGAAATAAAGGCAGGAAAGCCACGATAGGGAAGGACAGAGGCAGGAGAGAGGATGGGGACACAGAGCAGAAAGGGCAAAAATAATCAAGATGCAATAAGTAGAAAAGAATTGAAGTGATAAGAACAGCAAAAAGTAATAAAGTAGTGTTTTAAAAAATGGGGAGAAATCTTACTGAAGACATTCAAATCAGGGGAGTAGCCAAATTCAGGGATAATCATTCCTAGTAAAAAGCATTTTCCATTTTTCCAGGTGTTGGCTACAGAGCCTGGCAGGCACTTTCCGAGAAATGGGCTGTACTTCCTGAAGGCTGATATTTAAGAACCACTGAGTGCCAGAGAGGCCTAGGCTGTTAGAGGGAGAAGCCGTCCTTGAGGCCACCTCCTGGGGTAAGGGTGGTGGTGACAAGTGCAGCCTGGGCCTCCCAGATTGCTCTGGTTCCTTTCCTGGCACTATCCGACCATTCCTGCATATACAGTATTTTACACACTGTGAAGTCACGTTCGATTGTCTTCGAATAAAGGGTTTCTTTGCTAATAAACCAAAACACAAAACAACAACAACCAAAAACCATATTGAAATCCTGTCCTGATTCCCTCCCCAAAGAGATAAAGGTCCCTGCAGGGTCTGGGTCACTGGGAGGCAGCACTGAGATCAGAACTCCCAAACCAAGGGCCTTTCTCTTTTATTGTATTCATGTTCTTAATTTTGCCTCAAATAAGTTTTAAATGCTATATCAGCGTTAATGTCCCTCCTTCTACCTCAGCTTCCCCCCCGAAATAACTGATGCCCTGAAGTGAGTGTCCTTGCCTTCCATGACTGAGTTCTTACACCTCCCATGTGTGCATCCACGAACAGTAATTATTATTTGTTAACATAGACATTTTTTCATAAATATTGTTTTGTGTCTTGCCTTTTGCGTTCAGCATTGTTTTCGAGATTTAGCTATATTAGACACGTGGCTCTTGTTCATTCACTTAAACTGCTATGTAACAGTCTATGGGATGAATATATCATGGTTTGGATTTTCCCCTTCTTTGTTTGACAGGTTGTTATTGCAATGGAGGGCAGCGCCTGTGGCTTAGTGGGCAGGGTGCCAGCCCCATATACTGAGGGTGGTGGGTTCAAACCCGGCCCTGGCCAAACTGCAACAACAACAAAAACAACAAAAGCTGGGTGTTGTGGCGGGCGCCTGTAATCCCAGCTACTCGGGAGGCTGAGGCAAGAGAATTGCCTAAGCCCAGGAGTTGGAGGCTGCTGTGAGCTGTGTGATGCCATGGCACTCTACCGGGGGCAATAAAGCGAGACTCTGTATATATATAGCAATGGACACTCTTGTACTTAAGTCTGTGTGTGCACAGGAATATTTCTCCAGAAATGGACCTGCTGGGCAATATTGATCCTTGACTTTAGTAGGTATAGCCAAATTAAAGTGTTTACACCAATTTAAGCTCCCCTAGTAAAGTATAAGAGTATTTTCCCATAGGCTAGCCAACACTAAATATTGACGAATTTCTAATTTTTGGCAATCTGAAAAGTATAAGATGTCCCATTATTATTTACTTTACATTCCCATTATTGATGAAATGAGTATATTTTCCATGTTTATTGACCTTTCGTGATATCTCTTTATTGAATTTTCTGATCATACCTTTTATGCAGTATGACTTTTTCTTGTTGGTTTGTTCTTCATATAATCTGGTTACTATTCTGCCTTGGTTATTTACATTTCAAATCATTCCATTCTCATTACCTCCTTAAACTTTTTAACTTTGTCATTTAACTTTATTGATGGTATCTTTTTTCATGCAAAAGTTTGTTATTTTAATAAAGTAAAATTTATTTTTACCTTATTATTTGAGCTTTAAGTGATGTCTTAAAAAATATTTTCCTATCCCCAGGTCATAAATATATTTTCTCTAAAAGCTTTTTACATCAGTTCCTAATTCATCTCCAATGTATTTGTTTTTTAAGGTTTTTATTTTGGGGGGGATTGAGGTGGGGACAGTCTCACTCAGTTGCCCCAGACTAGAGTGCAGTGGCAACATCATAGCTCACAGCAGCCTCAAACTCCTGGGTTCCAGTGATCCTCCTGCCTCAGCTTCCTCAGTAGCTATGATGACAAGCACCCACCATAATACTTGGTTAATTTTTGTAACTGTTAGTAGAGGTTGGGTTTTGTTTTTGCTTGGGCTGGTCTTGAACTTCTGGGCTCAAGTGATCCTCCCATTTCAGCCTCCTCGAGTGCTAGGATTATAGAAGTGAGCCACCGTGCCTGGCCCTCAAATTTATTTGTGATATGATACCAGGCATCTAACTCTTTTTTCATTTTTTTTCAGTATGGATTTGCCCCAGGGAAGTTCATAGATATCTGGTTGTTCATCCTTTTCACGTGACTTTTAGTCAGCTCTCCTGCAGCTATCCAGTTTTTCCAAAGATGCAGAAGACATTTACCCTAACAAAATATTATATCTGTTGTCTGATAGCCTACTTAATACTTCAAAATATAGGAAAAACTTTACATAGGTAGATATTCACTGAAGCATTATATATTTATACTAGAGAGAGAGACTAGATAGAAATTTAACAACATTTACACTGGTTGCATAATACTGTGTGATTATTTGGACTCTTTCTTTAAAAACATACTCTCCTTCTAAAATGAACATCTTATAAAGTTATCAGTTAGGAAGTTATACTACAAATATAATGAAATCACTAATAAAAATTATGTTTTTTTAAATGACAAAGAATTAAAAACAACTGAACCTTCAAAAAGATCAAGGGATAAGAAAAAGTGAGAAATAAAACATAAAAAGTTTAAGAATTGGGGGCTCAGAGTGGTTATAATTTTTAAGTGTTATATCTGAAAGGGCTTAATACAGAATCAGGTAAGTGAGCAATGACTACTCATTGAATGATTAATTCTTGCCCTATCCAAACCTATTGAATTATTTTTACTCTTTTCAAAAATTACTGGAGGACTGAGGTAAGTCTCCCCAACAGAATATTTAGTAGCATGAATGTTAATGGTTAAAAATTATGGATCATGGAAATATTTACATTTTTTATTGATGTTCATAGAAGCAGAACTGAATTATAAAGAAACGGTGATAGGAAAACAATGAAGAGAAAAATAACCTAGTCATCATTCAGAAACCATGAGAAATGATACCCTAGAACTGTAATTACTTTTTAAAGTAATGAAAACTCTAAAAATTAGAAATATACTATAGTGAACATCATGAATGCAAAAAGGCAGATGAGAAGACTGGCATTTCATTGGAGTAAGTGGTGTCTATGTCTCTGTTCAAGATTAAGAGCAAAACATTATATAATTCTAAATATTTAACTAGGCAGCATGGAGTTATGAAAAGAGCATTGAACACAGAATCAAAAGGCTTTGTCCTAATCCCAGTTCTGTTAAAATCAATCTTGACCAAGCCATTTAAGCTTGCAGAACCTGAGCTCCCTCCTCTGTAATGTGGGTAGTGCCTGTTTGTTTCACGGAAGAATGGTGAGATTGAACTCACAAGAAAATAGGGAAGGGCTTTGTACATAACAAACTACCACAGAAAAGGAAATGCACTTTAATTATAATTTGGAGAGTTCAGGATCTGTCTTTATCACTTATAACCCAGTACACTTACCATTTGCCAATCAGTCACAGTAGTAATTAATAATGAAAACAACAATTGATATTGCCATAAGGCTGTCACAGTCTTAAATTTTTCTCCATACGTAGTATCTCATTTTTTCTTCACAACAGCGCTTCCAGTTAAGAATTATGAACAGATCATTTTTACAGAGGTGAAGCCGAGGCTCAGAGAGTTTAGCAGTTTCCTGAAGTCACATCAATCTAAGTAGCAAGGCCTGAACCACACACAGGTTCTAATTGCAAGCCCATTGCCTAGCAACAATGATCACAAAACTAACAGTTAATACACTTGGAGCACTTGTGAGCCAGGCACTATTCTAAGTGCTTTGTATGTATTTTCTCATTTGCAACTCGCAATGGCCCTACAAAGTATTAAAAGTTAGGAATATCCTATTTTACAAGCAGAAAATTGAAACATACTTACAGAGCACTTAATTATCTTACCCCAAGATCATACAGCTGGGATGTGGCATTTGAACCAAGTTATATGTTCCCAGGGACTGTCCTCTTAACAACAATGTTCTATCTACCAGCTATGGGTGTGTTCAG